CCTGCTTTATAACACCTCTTCAATTTTTAACAATTCTTACCACAGTATTCCTTATTCCAGATGAAGAGATGCTGTCATGGTATACCCTGTCCTCTCATTCTGTGTGAGTTTGTGCAGACACTGCGCTACATTTCACTGAAATTATTTGCATTTCTTGCTTTTTAATGCTCAGATGAGCTGACTTACTTTAAAATCAAATACAAGAACCTCTCAACCTGTTAGCATTTCATAACATGAGTCAACAAATAGCAATAAGAACATATTCCTCATTAACAAGGAAATTCCAAGCCTGGTTGCTAACAACATGAATAACTGCAAGATGCCATGAAAAAAGGAATGAATGCCTGCATTTAGTTACACGTGTTTTCCCATAGTAAACCATCACCACCACTTCTAACTCATTTAGATTTCTATCATTAACCAGCAATTAAACATGCAGCTTAACTTCAAAGCTCAGGTAGTGTCTTGTGCTATTGAGCTTACACCAAATAAAAGTTCATCCCTCTATGAAGATAATTCAGAAGAAGCTACACCTTCCTAAGGATTTCACACTTTCTTTCACATTATACATGGCCATATAGATGAGGCAATCTCAGTAAGTTAGCAACTCTACAAAATTCAAACAGTGCTTTACAGGGCATATTGAAGGGACTGCCACAGGGATGTATTTGTGTTTTCAAATTCGTCATTATCTTTAACAGCAAAATCAAAAGATGGCAAGAGCACTTAGAGACCAAAGGGTTTTCTCAGAGCCCTCAGTGACCTGTCCATTCTTAATGAACCAAAGTACATCCAAAAGTACTCTAAAGACACAGTACCCTAATGAGTGGAATGGTGGGACATGTGATTATGGCCACAGGATAACCCTTGCTCATGACAGCGATAATGTTAATGGCAATAGAGAGATAACTGATGGAGGATATCAACCAGACTGCATGATGGCACCACCTCCTGTTGGTGATGATCACCTTCTCAGATAAGCTGTTGCTGGCCATCTCAAGTGACTCTGCAGGTGAGGAAGAGAAGTGTCAGCTCCAGAACACTGAAGCTGAAATGGCAGAGGAAAGCAGCAGCTCCTTATGTTTCTTAAGAGATGCATCTGTGATTAATGTGTATAGGGAGTTATTACCAGCACCAAAGTGCAAAAAACAGGAATTCACAAGGTCCCCATAGGTGTTTCAATTGCATGTGATTCTGTAAGTTAAATTTGTGTATGCTTCTGTATCAGAAAAAAAGCACCAAGCATTTAGAGGCAGGTACCTCACCAAAGCAGGGAGAATCACAGAATCATAAAATTATTAGTGTTGGAAAAGACCTCCAAGATCATCAAATAATTTTTGACTGAATACCTCCATGCCCTTTAAACTGCATCATGAAGTGCCATGTCTAATTGTTTTCTGAATACTTCCAGGGATGGCGACTTCTCCACTTCCCTGGGCAGCCTGCTCCAATGCTTAACTTCTCTTTCAGTGGAGCAACTTTTCCTAATATCCAACCTAAATATCTCCTGGCACACTTTGAGGTCATTTCCCCTTGTGTGTGAGAAGAGACCCCCACCTTGCCACAACCTTTCATGGAATTGTAGAGAGTAGTAAGGTCTCCCCTGAGCCTCCTTTTCTCCACTGAACACCCACAGCTCCCTCAGCTGCTCCTCATAGGATTTATGTTCTAGAGCCTTCACGAGCTTCATTACCCTTCCCTGGCAGGGCACATATTCCTCCACAGCTGAGCTGGAATGTGGAACTCAGTGCTCGTCAGTGCACAGAATATAGGAACGGTCAAGGTGTTGTACTGACATCCTCAACAGAAATTCCAGGTTTTTCAGCTTGCTGTGGAGCAGATGAAACATAGCAGTGGGGTGCCAGAACTGAACAGGGCAACTGAAAGGAGCTCCAATGGCATTTTGAGTGCTCCAGCTCTGTATCCCAGGTATGCCTAAATCCTGACTAATACTTTATGTGCAATGCTTGCACTGCTACTTGAAGAGGAGCATCCTTCTTTCTGATATGAAGGCAGTCTGTGAAATGGGATAGGCATGTGGACTAACTAGTAATATGCTTTGGCATCCATTAAAGTAAATCTGCAATGACTAATGACCTGCTGAATCAAACTGAAATTGCTTCAATGGACTGAGAAAGGTAAGTAAAATACACAACAGGGATTATATCTGCCAGCAGTAATGAAGGCACTCCATCACCATTTGCTAAGAGACTTAAAAATGTGCAGATCTGTAAAAATATACACACCTTATAAAGAAAATGCTAATGTTAAAATTTGTCTATTCTTTATGGACTGTATTTTTTATTTACTGTCTCAGTTGCCTGCAACCTAGGCTAGGGATTTATTAATTTCTTCTTGTTGCTGTCTTTGTTTAAATGGATATATTTTTTAAGAAACTCTGTGTAATAGTCACAAGCAATAGCACTTAGGGCCATCTCAGTCATGTGTTTTCTGACATCACACTACAGGGTTAATTGCTGAGAACAAAGTTATCTTCTGGTAGTTCTGCCCCACCTGAATGATCCACAGCAGCTGTGTGGCTCATTTAGCTGGCAGGTTAAACTGACTTTAAGACTAATTGAGCAGAATTCTTGCTAGGCTCCTGTTTATCTGACCCAATACATATCATTTCAAGGGTTGTGTAAATACAGAGATGCATCAGCTGTGCCAGATGGATCTATATACAAAATGCCTGCTTTCTAAAGTGCTGAAGAGATTGTAGGTACAAGCAATTTAGAATTATCTCTTTGTCAGGTCAAATAGAAATAAAAAATAGAGGACCATGTTCAGCTTTTTTTTTTTTTAATTCTCAGTTTAAGAATTAATATATAGATTGTGATGTTGACTACAGGTCACACAACCCTCCCCCCTTTTCCAGTCAGTAAAAGAGAGTTTATAGTCAACTTCGTATTCACCTATATGAAAACAGACCAGAAAAAAGATGGTGCACAGGATCTGACAGTGTCTCACTAACTAGAACAGAAAATGGTGTAACATGTCAGGAAATAGCTTAGGAAGATAATCTCCATCAAGGAGGTATTCAGGCATGTAACAGAGGCAAGGAATCTCGCTGGCCTTTTTTCTGCACTGGCTCTTTTCAGTCTGCTCACCGATAAAAGTCTCACAGAACTCAACCTGATATTTAGATTCAAATATTCAATTTAGAAAAGCTTGTCTCTTTTCTTTTACTATGGAAGATGAATGAGTTTAAAGCATGAAGAAAATATCTTCCAATGTACATTATTATCAGTTTCGTTAGTATACATTCCATGTGAATGTAATTTTCAGGTGAGTACCATGCAAGAGATATTAAGTAAAACAGGGGTTCTGCATTTGGATTCTTGGAATTTTGGCTGATGCATCTATTTTAAAGACAATACTTTCTAAAAAATACTATCAATGCACACACAAACTACTTGCTTTTTCTATTTCTATATCGTCAATGGATATACCCAAATGTATTTTTAGAAAAATGTAATATGTACAATTTCTATATGTGTGTGAGTGCACAAACAGGTAAACATTTATTAATCTGGCCACAAATATCTCAGATAAATCATTAATCATAACACTGAAATACTGTCATTTCTCTTACATAAAGGGAAGTTCCTTTAAACTAAATTATTTATTATGTTAACTACAATCAAAGCTTATGCCTGTATTACAACTTCCAAGTTTGTCCCCTGAATCGTTCCCTTTCACTCTATCACCTACACACGTATTCACAACAAAATTGTCATCTTCTATGTGGGTGGGAATGACTGATGTAAAAAGCCTGTTTTCAGTCTCTGATGAATAATCAACTAACTTCTTCAACAGATGTAAAAGTTAATGTAGCAGCATGCAGATGGTATTGTCCCCAGGACAATTTTCTAAATACTAACCTAAATTTAGATTTCTAAATACTACCAAAGAGGTTTACTGGGTCACTTACTCCTTTGTGGCACTTCAATAAAATAGGTCCCCAGCTAGCACTGCATCTTAAATATCATATAGCACCTCAAGAGTGTTCCATGTGAATCCATGTCAAAAGTTGTGCTTGTCCTTCCTGTGCACATGAACATTCCCTACCAGAGCAGGGAGGATTCAGACCCTCACACCCAAAGGCCCACTCAAACTGAACAGCAGCATCTGGAAGGTAAGTCAGTCAGAAGAATATTCATATCACATGCTATAAACATGATTTCCAGGCACATCCACACCACTCAGTTACACGGAGCACGCTCTGTATGGGCAGCAATGAGGAGCCTCACCTACTCCTTGGCTCACGCTTTTAAGGAGTAACTCCATAGAGGACATCTAAATGCAACAGGGGTGAAGGAGGCAAACCCCTGCTTTGTAGAAGATGCAGTTCACTATTAATAAATAATATAGCCACCTGAAACAAGTATCATATACTGCAATCATAAACTGTAAATTCATCATTCCCAGAAATATATGCTGCAAATGTAGCTTTGCTAACCTAGGACCAAATTCTTATTTGTACCCAAAACCATTGCAAAGCACAGAAATATCCTCTGGTAAAATAGAAACTATTGAAATAATGTCTACCATACACAACATTCATCAGTTCCAAATAAAAGAAAGCTTATATTGCTTTTAGAGAACTCTCACCAATACTGTATTACAGAGAGCTGACAGCTGCAATACATTTAGCTAAGGAAAATAAATTGAGCTAAAGCACTTTCCTTACAGTACCTGCTTGAACTATTTGGAACATAACTCCTAACATTAACTACAAACAGCCACATAATTCAAATAGCAAATAGGTAGGAGCTTCCAAGAGACTTCAAACTTACAACAACAGTCTAACAGACAAGAAGTCAAACGAACGTAAGAGTATTTTACTAAGTATTTTTGAGCAAGTCACAAACTGAACATCATGGAGAGACTGGTTTATGATATGTGCAATTAAAAATCATCATGCTTATCTAACCACAAAATTTATTTTATTTTGAGAAATAGGAATAATTCTTTAGGTACAGAGAGTTAGTACTTACGGGTAAAATGATTAGAAGTGGATGGGTTGACACTATCACCACTGTCAGCACTTTCACTGCTGGAAATGTCATCATCTGATTCCCTCACAGAGGAACAAGGTGAGGAGCCATCAACTTCTTCAAACTTCCTCTTTAAAATTCCACTCATTGCTGCAATGCTGTCACATGTACCTGTAACAGGAACAGAGGCAATGAGGCACTGAAACATCCAGCTGCAGAATATGCAATCATAAACTCCAAAGTAATTGTTGTTTCAAAACAGCAGTAAATTGCCACTTCTGGTCTTGAATAATAATTTAATATGAAATTACACATGATTAATTAGGAGAGTGAAGCCACAGAAAAGAAAAGAAAATCTTAAATCCTACTCTAACTTGACATGTATGGAGGTGACTATTTCACTAGAATAATCTGTAACAGATTGCTTTCAGGGAGTATTTTTCCCACTACGTCAACAGCATCCCTATCTTCTTCTAGGTTACGTTGTAAAATTTCAAACAAAGAAAAAAATTATGGACTTGGTCCCTCCTTTGGCTGCCACAGAAGGAAGGAATGTTCACAATCAGGGATGAAATTAAGAAGAAATCATCCTGAACACTATAGTTCCCAATGCTAAATATAAGTGATGTAACCAGTGTTCACACCACCCTTTAAGAATTTAATCTGATAATTCCAATATTACAGACAGATAAAAGACAGTGAAGGCACAAAAACCATATATGAATTTGTGCTCAATAACTACCTGGATTTCAGAAGTTACCCACACCAGGTAAAGACACCAACTGCCTCCCAAACGTTCTCCTCTCCCAGCTCCCACAGGTTTATGAAAGACAGGACAACATTTCCCACAGCATCCTCATGGAGAAACTGACTGCTTACATCTTGGACAGGTGCAAAAACTGGCTGGCTGGATGGCCCAGAGAGTGTTGGGGAATGGAATTAAATCCAATTGGTGGCCGGGTCACTAGTGGTGCTTCCCAGGGCTCAGCTGAGGCCAGTCCTGTTTAAATATCTTTATCAGTGATCTGGACGAGGGGATCGAGTGTGCATCCCCTCAGTCAGTTTGCAGATGACAGTAAGCTGGGCATGAGTCCAAAGAAGGGCAATGAAGTTGGTGAAGGTCTAGAAAGTGACTCATATGAGGAGCAGCTGAGAGAGCTGGGACTGCTCAGTTTGGAGAAAAGGAGACTCAGGGAGGATCTCATCACTCTCTAAAACTCCCTGAAAGGACTTTTTAGCCAGCTGGGGGCTGGCCTCTTCTTCCAGGTAACAAATGACAGGAGAAGAGAAATGGCCTCAACCAAGGCCAGAGAGGTTTAGATTGGGTATTGGGAAAGATTTCTTCAACACAAGGGTGGTCAAGCATGGGAATGGGCTGCCCAAGGAAGTCACCCCATAGTCACCATTTCTGGAGGTATTTAAAAGATGTGTAGATGTGGCACTTGGGTACATTGTTTAGTGGTGAACTGGTCAGGTTAATGGTTGGACTCCATGATCTTTGAGGTATTTTCTGACCTAAAATTATTCTGTGATACCAAAATTAAGAAATGAAATGCCTACTATATTCCTGAGGTTGAGTAGAACATTATAAAGCTAAGTACTCATGCAGAAATTTAGCAGCACGTCCTGGTTCCAGCCAGGGCAGGGTTAATTTTTTGTATCAACCCGAAGGGGGCATGGCCAGGACACCAAGGTTATTCTGTAGCACTTCACATCATTACTGGGGGCAGGGGGAAGGGAGTCTTTTCCAGGGAACAGAAGTTTCTTAAGGTTCCACTTCCAAGCCGGAGAGAGCTGGTGTTGTCTGTTGTGGGTTTCCACAGTGAGTAGTAACATTCCTTTTCTTGTACTCTCTGCCATGAATATTGCTGCCCTTACTGTTCCTCTTCTTATCTCAGTGCCATTTCCAGTAATTTGAAATTAATTAGTAAAATTATTAAAATTATTTTTTAAAATATCTGAAGCCATGATCTTCACCTTTTGTGCCTCCTATTCTCCTGTCCAGTGCACGACAAGGGGGAGGGAAGGGAAAGTGAGTGAGCGGCAGCGTGCCTTGGAGAGCTTCTGTGGGAGCACTAAACTGAGGAGTACCCCTCCTAAACCATGACACAGCAGAGGCAGAAATACTGCATGTAATTCACTAACTGAGGAGAGATCAAGAACAGCTGGAGCCTGCCCAGAGGACACACAGCTGCCACCATCCTGCCTGCAGCACTGCAAAGACAAATGCTCCTAACACTTTTCCAGGCAAAGTCTGTCTGGGATTGATGACACACTGTACTTGTCAGGGACACACAACCCAGCACTATGGACTTGACAAAGGGTTCTGCCCAATCCCACTGGAAGCAAGAAAAATAAAAAAAATCATTTACATTCCTCATGAGACAGAACTATTAAAATCTCTACAACTACCTTTATGATTCCTTAATTCTGGACCAGCAGCATTCAGCTCCTTCCAGGAAACTGAACTAGATACACCCCAGAACTCCTTTCCCACCAACATTTCTATGGCACTGTGTTTAAAAACCCAACATATGTGATGAGGAAGCTTGCATAAACTGGGCTAAACGGCTACTAAAGAAGACAGGTTAAAGCAGAGATTCCAGTACTGGCCAAAACATGAAACAATTAGCACATTTCAGGGTTTTGGCTCAGGCCACTTCTAGCTCTCCTGGATTATACAGGATGAAGCAGGTGCCAGAACCATTCCCAGCAGGCAGGCTGCATGAGGGCACCTGGGTTTTGGCAGAGGCCTGACAGCTTAGCCATTGTGGACAAGAGCTGTATCCTGCCACTTGGCAGCAGAAGCCAGAGAATGCTGTCCCTAGCCCACGTCTCTCTTATCTTTTCAATTAGCACAGAGGCAGTGCAAGCACAGCACTTCAACAGGTTCTCTGCTATCTTTGCTCACACTTGGCCTCACACTAAGTAGTTTCAATGTCTCCCATGTGTTCTACAGCTCCCTTCAAGCCCCAACACCAGTTTCTTCCCTGGAAAAAACAAAGTGACAGTGTGAAGAGAATTGTAATCTTTCAGCACGGTATGAAGTCATAAGAAGATAAAGGCAGATATATGAGAATGAGAATTACCAAAAAAAAAAAAAAAAAAAAAAAAAAAAAAAAAAAAAGAGAAAACATAATAAGAAAAAAAATAGAGAAAAAGTAGGACTCACCAAGTTACAGTCTGTAAGTCTAATTCCAAATCATAATTCTGCAATTACTGAAGCCTGTCTATATGAAATTCATGAGCTCATGAGTTGAGGTGGCAAGAACACAGTGGTTTCTTCTCAGTGCAAAGTTTAGTTCTAATTACTTGTTTTGCTTTGCTGACAAAGCATTTTACCTTGTCTGCCAGCTCCTAAGCACAGCAGGAGGGACTTATGAGCAGGTTTAAACTTGCCTTTGTAAGTCAAAACTAGAATTGCATATACATTATACAACATTTTAATGATATTATTAAATTGTAAGGATTAGAACAGAAGTTTTATAATAAGGGAGTTAATTCACTTTTTGAGAATCAAAATCTCTAAAAAATACACATGTGATTGTAGCAAGTGTAATATCCTGTCTCCAGCAGCAGTCACTATGTAATGCTTCAATGGAAAGCAATGGGATACAAAATCCAGCAAAAACCACTGCAGATACACAGCTCTGCTTCCTCATCCTTACAGACAATTTCCCCTAAGCATCAGACTTGAAATGTTGCTATATGACAGTGCCCAGCCTCTTAGAAATTCACTTGACTTGGTCTCCTGAGGCAACAAGTTTCTTATTAGTTTTCTGTGAGAAGTAAAAAACCACAACAAAACACATCTTCTGAAACTATAGCCACACCCCCTTCAAAATCACTGCAGTTTCAATCTCTACAGTATTCTGGACAGTAAGCAGCAGGAAGACAGCAGTGTCCAGCAGCTGCTGTACTAGACAAAACTACACAGGTACCCTCCACAAAGTGGGGACAGCTGAGGAGAAATCACTGACATCTTGTTGCTGTATTACAGTGGTATTTCCATTTCAGTAGTGATTACATTACACAGGAGGCAGAGTGCTCATCCCTTACAGAATTAGGAAATGCCTTTATATTTGAGGGTGTGCAGGGAGGGAACAGCGATGGAGACACAAATGGAACTGCACATTCAGATCTGCATCCCAAAGCTGGGGCATCTGTCCAATGGCTGCAGCTGCTGGAAAGCACCTGGCATGTTCCTGCCTACACTCCCAACCCCACAGCTGTGCAACCCTTAACAGCCTGCCCACCTCTGGGGAGCTCCCCAAGCCACACAGCCTCTTGCTGACACTACTCCTCTTTTGATGTAGGAACGTAAGCATTCATCAGAAAGAATAAGGAAGAGAAAATGAGCAAGAAACTGTGCAGGTCTGAAAACACTTGAGCACTTGTTTACTGTTCAGATTCTTCCCAATTCTGAGTTAATAATCCCCAGAACAAGATGCAGAAACCCATCAGAAGGTGTACCTCATGAGAATAACGTAGATGGAGCACTAGTCCCCAGTACAGCCAACACATGCCTGCTCCTGGAACTGGTGCCATATTTCCTAGGACTAGAAAACAAGAACAAAGGGGGTGACGTGCCATCTCAACAGGTACACTTCGACATCTCACAGCTACACCTGCTCAGTCTCCCCCCTGCAAGGGCACAGGGACATACAAATGGCTGATTATCGCCTGCTGACTGAGCAACAGCTGCTTTCACTGGAGTAACCAGAAACTCTGAAATTACTCCAACGTCCTTGTCATTAGTTGTCCCTCAGACCAAGGTAGGCTCTGTCATCTGTCACCAAATTGTCTTCTTCAAAGGCATGTAAGTTCTTCCAGGGTCTCACTTTCAAGTTCCCCTAGCATAAAGGCACTTCTGCACATACCCAAAGTTACAGAGATTTGAGGTATCTGAGTAAGTTCCCGTTGAGGTCTCCCTGGGAGCCTGAAATTTGTGTCCTTCCAAGTAAGGTGTCCAAGAACAAAAGAAAAATCTATTATGAGTGCAAAGCATGTTGAGAAGGAAGAGGAACAGAAAGGCTGGGCCAGACCTAAATTCATGAGCAATTGTTTATGTACCCAAATAAATAAAAACAAAAATACAGTAAATACAGTACAGCACTTGGCTGCTACCTGTGCCCACCCTCTTTGGACTATGAATCTTGGCATAATTTTCT